TCTCATTTTAATTTTATTAATTTTATTATTTAACATTAAAATGGGTGTTGAATTATTTGGTAATGTTAATGTTTGTGTATTTTGTAGTAAACTTGAATAATAATTTGAATCGAATGTTCGAATCATCATTGAAACATTTAAAAGTAAATATTTCTGAAAAAATAATTAATTTTAGTTAGGATATTAGAGTTTATAAGTTTAATAAAAGGGATAAACTATTAAATTTAGCCCAGCAATAGAGATGTTTTTGACATATCAAGCGAAATTATAAAATTCATTGCAGTACTCTTGGAACAGGTATTATGGAATATTATTATACCTATTGCTGCCCGTTTATCTCGTTAATTGATATTAGTAAAGTAAGATCCAAGATTTAATTTTTTAATTCCAACAAATAAATCTTTTAAAATAATTAATTACCTTATCAGAAATACTTAATTCTTCATAAAAAGGCATAGAACGTATTAATTCAATTGCCAAATATAAATCCCTTTAAATTAATTTGTGTAATATATTTAGGTAAATATAAAAATAACAAACATAAAAAAATAACTGGGCACATGTTTATTTAAATTTCTTCCTTCCATTAAATCTTCGAGTTCGGCTGAATTTACTGAAGCTGGGTTAGGCTATAATAATTAATTTTAGAATAAGTTTGTGTTAATCTCAGAGCTATTTAGATATGTATAATAATTTCGTTTAACATTTACAACTTATTTATAGAATCCAGCATTACGGCATTCGATATTAAGATTAATTTATAATTTTCTTTATGATAAGACAGAAATTTACAATTTCTAGGTTTAGAAACAAAATTTTTAGGTATATCCTTAATTTTACACATAAACTGTTTTTTATTTGGTATAAATTTTAATATAACTGACAAAGTTTAAAACTAAATTACCTCAAATTTCTGATATAAATTTAATAAATTAATATTAGATTTATCCAAAAAATCATCCAATTTTCTTTTAAACATAAATTCAACAGATATTCCGTAACGGGAATTTCTAATATAAAATTTCTTATTTTCAACATTAATTAATTCTGATAATATTTTTGTTATTTCAGAATTTTTATTTGTTGTTGGAATTATTGAAGGAGACAATTTCTAAGAAAAAAATAAATAATTAATTAAAAATAAATGAAAAATTCAAAAATATCAGAAATAATTCCCTTCTCAAGAGTTATTTGTTTTTTTAAATTTTAGTCTTGCAAATTGTTAATATAAATTAGAGATCACGGGAGCTCGAACAAAAGAGAGGCATATTGTACGATTCTCGTACGACACTCTCAGTCCGTCCGATCTCTAATATAAATATCCGATATATTCACACATATACAGGGTGCGTAAAAGTCCTTGCCCACAGCTTTTCTGCATAAAAATTTAATTTAACTTATAAATTATCACCTTATTATTATTTTTCAAATCCTTTTGTTTATTATTTCGAGAAAATAAACAATCGTCACTTTGTTTTTTTAATTTGTTTCTTAAAGCCAATTGTTGTACTAGTAATTTATTCATACCAGCACTTAAACATTTAGATAAACGACAAGCACGACATTTAATTCCTTTTAATTTTTTTAAATTAAAATTAAACAAAAATTATATTTTTTCTTCAAGTTTTGGAAATAATTCAACTATGATCTAGTCATTCCTTTCGAGACTATTATTATTATTATCAAAGTTTTCCGGTCAAGAACTAATTACTTAAATATTATTTTTTAATAATAAATTTTTAACCATCTTTAATATCACAAATTGATTTTCTTGGACAATTATATTTTCTATTTTCAATAATTGAACGTCGAAAAAATTGTTTACAACCTTAAAATTGAAATTAAATTTAATTTAATTTTTAAATAAATCTTTCTTGACTAACCATTACAACTAAAAACATTATAATGATAAAAATAAGCATCCTTCCCACAAACAGCACATTTACTATCTTTTTTATTTTGTTGATTTAAAATATTTAAATTTAATGATGATGATAACATTTATATTTAAATATATTTCTCTAAAAAAGAGAAGAGATTTTACTAAAATTACAGTAAATTATTATTTTCGTTGAAAAATCGGAAATTATTTAAAATTTTTTAGACAAAATAAGAATGAAGAAGAAACATGAAAAGAATCCATAGTTTAGTTTCATGTACTAACAATGAACTAATTTAAATTTTGTAATTTTAAATTAGTGCAAATGACGAAAATAGTTCCATCATGAATGAATAATAAAGTCTAATACATATATCCAATGGTTAGTTTTATTTAAATACGAGAACTAGATATGATGTACATATTACTTTACAAATATAAATTTTTCATGATTTTAAATTTATTTAAAAAAATTTAACTCGTAATTCAACATTATACCTTTTCTGCTATCTCCTTCTTTTTGATTTATAGGATTTTAATATAAGAACTCATTTACAATATAATAAAAAGTTTAAATTTGGGTGAATTTAATTAAATTTATTTTTAATTAAAATAAATATTTAAAAGTTAAAATTAAATTAAGTAAAAATATAATAGAGAATTTAATGAATATAAAACTAAGTGAAGAATTCTAACATTTAAATTTAATAGCCAATCAATTATGCCAGATTTTCGATTGATTTAATAAAAGAAGAATTAATTAAATAAATTAAAAGAGATGGAATAGTATGTAGTAGATAGGCTAATTAGGTAAAGTTATCGGAACAACTTCCCCCGTTATCGGACCAACTTCCCCTGTTGAAGGAACAACTTCCCCGACGTTGGAACAACTTAACCAATGTTCGGGTCAACCTCTCCTGTGTTCACTGTTTTTGTAACAAATTCTACATATTTGAACATATACTTAGAGAATTCCTATATTTGGAACTGCTTTTGGAAATTTTTATACTCGTGCTAAGACTTAAATAATAAAAATTGTTTGTGGAAAAAACAAAAAACAAAAAAATATTTGTTTAGTAAATTATTTAACTGTCAATCAAATAATTATTGTATTTCTAAAGAAGAAAATAAATTAATAATAATTAAACAAAAATTGGAAAAAGAAAAGAAAAGAAAAATAAATAAATAATTTAATTGTTAAAAATCGTGTCGGGCTAACCCAAGGAAAAGACAAATCAAGGAAGACAAATCATTGAAACATTTTAAAAATAGGAATTTTTTGAAATATCTGAAATTGCATTTTTAAAAAATAAGAATTAAAAAAATTAGAATACTTTAAAAGTCAATTTAAAAAAAATCCGAAAAATTCTGAATTTTCAAAAAATTACATGAGTTGGTCGTTCCTTGACCCGTTTAATCTTTTATTTCTAAACAACTACAAACAAAAGGAGCTAAATTTTGTCCTTCTTCTTCCATTTCTTCATTTTTAAATTGTTTTTCTATTAATTCCTGTAAATTAATAATTAAATACTAAATTTATTTTGATTAATATTTAGTAAATGTTTATTTTAAATAAAAAAATTTTGAATAAATAAATGATAAATATTTTTTAAATTATTTTCATTGAATAGCTCCGGTTATATGTAGTTTCAATTTTTACTGTTATAATTTAATTCAAATGATTATCTATTTTATGCGGACCTATGCGGAACAGACCTGCATTTTTCAGACAAAAGCTTTGAAGGAAGCTTTTTTGCGGTCCCAAACAGAGGTTCGTATTCATAAACCAAAAGGGTCTTTGTTGTCTAAGTAATGTTTTCCTGGTTTCGAATCAAACAGTTTAGGGGTAAGGACTAAAATGGCTAGGCATTGAAACTTTTATGGGGAGGGGGGGGGAGCATTTAAAAGCCTGTGAAGCATTTACTATTGCATCTTGTTAAAGTAGAAAGCAAACTCGCCAAAAATTCGATCGTGTATTTAAAGAATCCCGGTACAGTCGAATATCCCCCGATTTTAAATTTAATTTCTTCATCATCAAAGGGTATTTAAAACAAAAGTTAATTTAATTTTAATTATTTTATACTTTAAATATATTCATATCCCTTTCCGCCTTTGTAGTAGCCAAAATAGAATTAAATAAAAACATTAAATCAGAATATCTTTTAACCCCTTCCAAATCTCCTTTGTTTGTCTGTAAATATTTTAATAATATTTTTGAATATAATTCTGCCGAATTTTTCATTTTAATTTTCCCTTGTGAAGATATATTTGGAATATCTATTTAAATATTTATTTATTAAAAATTTATAAATATATCTGATACTTGACCCCTTATCCTCCTACCCCTCTTCTTTTTTCATTGTGTGCCGAACAAATTATAGAGTTTATCTTATATTGCCCAAAGAAAGACGTTGAGGAGTGTAGGTTTTCAGAGATTTTTTTCTTCATAGTTACATTGATGAATTCTTTTTTTAAATTTTAAATAACTATTTATACTTCAAGGTCGTTCTTGGGGCAATATAAGGTACATAGATTCTTTAATTTATTCCGCGCAGAAAAAGTGGGTGCAGCAATGAAAATGAAGAGGGTTGGGGGTAGGATAAGGGTACAAATACCAAAATAATATTACCCCAGATACAAATAAAAATTGAACGTAAAATTACAAATTCATTTTGATTAATATTTAAATGTTTTAATGTTTGCATTAAACTACAAAAAGCAATTCTTTTAAGATGTTCAAATCTTAAAATAAAAATTAATTTTTAAAAATTATTAAAGTTTTTATTTGGAGTTTGATAGATTCATTAATAGGATATCACAATTTTTTATAATATTTATTTTTATTTGGGTATTTTGGAGCTGAAAATCGTATTCGAATGTATGTACATTAAAATGGTTGTACGTTGAAATGTAAGTGCCTAATTAATAAAAACTCATCTCTATAACTATTTTTATCTATACTGTTATATCTTCTATTTCCGTTTAGATTCATTAGTACTGGAAACATTTTCCAGCCATCGGACTCTTTTTCAGTTTCCGGACCTTTTTAAGCTCACGGACCTCATTTTAAGCCAAGGTGGTACACCATAGTTAATTAAACTGTAATTACTCATGCATATTTTTAAAAAATATTTTGATAGAAAATTACAAACGTATTTAAAAAAATCAAAGAATTATTTTCATCTCTCATTTTAATTTTATTAATTTTATTATTTAACATTAAAATAGGTGTTGAATTATTTGGTAATGTTAATGTATGTGTATTTTGTAGTAAACTTGAATAATAATTTGAATCGAGTGTTCGAATCATCATTGAAACATTTAAAAGTAAATATTTCTTTAAAAAAATTAATTAAATATGTATGTATAAGTTAAAACTATTCATTAACTTTATATGTACTATTATTAAAGATATTAGCAAATGTCAGGTACGACTACTTTTAAGAACAGTTATGCTAATATTATGGAATATTACCTATATCGTTAATTAATATTAGTAAAGCTCAAGATACTTAATTGAGGTCAGATAGTAATTTAATATTTTAATTCCAACAAAAAATATTTAGAAATAATTAATTACCTTATCAGAAATACTTAATTCTTCATAAAAAGGCATAGAACGTAATAATTCAATTGCCAAATATAAATCCCTTTAAATTAATTTGTGTAATTAGGTAAATATAAAAATAACAAACATAAAAAAATAACTGGGCACATGTTTATTTAAATTTCTTCCTTCCATTAAATCTTCGAGTTCAATTGAATTTACTGGAGCAGGGTTAGGCTATAATAATTAATTAATTTTAGAAAAAGTTTGTGATAATCTCAGAGCTATTTAGATATAATTCCGTTTAAAATTGACAAATTACTCATTGAATCCAGCATAAATACTAGCCCGGGGTTTCCGGGCCGGGCCCGGGTTCGAACTCTAGTTTAAACGAAGTTAGCATAATTAATTTGTAATTTCTTATTTTTAAAATATTTTAGTTTAGAGGCAAAATCTTTTAGGTAATTCCGGTAATTTTACACATAGACAGTTTATTTTAAGATAACTGACAAAATTTGAAATTACCTCAAATTTTTTATATAAATTTAATAAATTAATATTAGATTTATCCAAAAAATCATCCAATTTTCTTTTAAACATAAATTCAACAGATATTCCATAACGGGAATTTCTGATATAAAATTTTTTATTTTCAACATTAATTAATTCTGATAATATTTTTGTTATTTCAGAATTTTTATTTGTTGTTGGAATTATTGAAGGAGACAATTTCTAAGAAAAAAATAAGTAATAAATTAAAAAATTTTGTAAAAATTCAAAAATATCAGAAATAATTCCCTTCTCAAGAGTTATTTGTTTTTTAATTTTATTCTTTTAAATTGTTAATATAAATTAGAGTTCAGACCGAGACGAGAGCTCGAACAAAGATTTCAATTATTTTTCGAGGTATATTGTACGATTCTCGTACAATACTCCCAGTCCGATCTCTAATATAAATATCAGATATATTTAACAAATACTACCTTATTATTATTCTCCATATCTTCTTGTTTTTTTAATTTATTTTTTAAAGCCAATTGTTGTACTAATAATTTATTCATACCAGCACTTAAACATTTAGATAAACGACAAGCTCGACATTTAATTCCTTTTAATTTAAAAAAATTATATTTTGCCCCTTGTAAAGCTAAAGTATGGATGGAAAGGAGTGTAACTATTGGATATATGTAGTTCAGTTCTAAAAAACTAAAAAATATTTTCTTTGACTATTTATTTTTTAAATGCTAAATTGTTGCTCAAACATAGGGTCCTATAAGCTAGGTAGTCAACAATCGAGAAAATACGAAGAAATTAAAAAGTGTGAGGGCTAATTCATACAATCTTACCATTTTCAACCAGACAATTTGAATTTTCTAAGCAAGAATATGTTTTATTTTCAATAATTGAACGTCGAAAAAAGTGTTTACAACCTTAAAATTAATTTATTTATTTAATTTTTTCTAACAAATTTCCCCCACTAACCATTACAACTAGGGACATCGTAATGATAAAAAAATGCCTTCTTTTCGCAAACAGCACATTTATTTGGTTTTTTATGTTGTTTTGAATTATTTAAATTTAATGTTGACATTTAATTTAAATAAATACAAACCTAATTCAATGAAATTTTTAAAAGTAATATTTAGGCACTTTTGTAAAAAATAGTTTAAAAATAGTTAAAGAATCTGCTTTCTAATTTTTTAAATTTTTCTACGCCAAAGAAACTAAAAGAATCATAAATGGTGCAATAGAAAATGGTGCAATGCGCGGAAATAGTGCGAGATAGTTGAGCGATAAGAACCCTACACCGGAGAGCTCTCTCTCTGGATCTTGTAGGGGTTTAGCATTAAAAAGATTAATTATAAAGCTTACAAATATTTTTAAAAATTATTTTTATTTATTTTAGTAATATTTAAAATTTATATATTTAATTTAGATTTAAAATATTTAAAAATTTAAAGGAGAGCAATTTGACTTATAAGCCAAAAATGCTCTACTTTAAAATTTTTTTAAAAAAATTTAATGTGAATATTGTATTATTGTGGAATATGTAAGTAAATATATTTAAATGATACTGATCTTTCTAGGACAAATCAATTTTCAAATCCACATTACTCTAGCTCTGATCTCTAGTTCTGATCTAAGAAAAAAGAGAAAAAATTAAATTCGAAAAATGTCTAATAAAAAATACTTTTATTACATAAAATAATAAAATAATTTTTGAAAAACAAAAACAAAGCATGGAAATTGTGAAAAGAATAAAATTTGTTTATAAAATACATAAATAAATATAAAATATGTAGTATGTAGTGAAAAATGTATTTATTAATTACTACCTTTGGGACTATATAATTTAAAAAGAAAATAATGTATAGATGGAAACATATTTACCTTAATTAGTGTTGTCATTGGTTTCATAAACCCAAAAATAAAATGAAAAAATTTTTTTATAGAATATTTTATTAAATATTCAATAAATTAAAGTTAAAAAAGTTTATTTAAAAGTTATTTTTAAATTTAGAAAAAAATTATTTTGGAAAGAGAGAGGAGAGAGGCAGAGAGGGAAAATGGGAGAGATCTTATAGGAGATAATATTCTTTCACAATTAGAATTTTTATTTTAAAATTAGAAAAATTTATTGAAAAACTTATTTATGTTTTTGCAAATTTTAAAATATACAGAATCCGGTCCGGGTGTAAAAAATCGGGAAATCCATTGGAAAAGTTTGAACTCTAGTAAAAATATCATTTTAGACTTCAAGTCATATCCACATACAAGACATGTAAATATTAAAAAATCCGGCCGAAATTAAATAATATGGACGAAAATGTAGAGGAAAGATGGGAAATGGACGGATATACATAAAAAAATTCGAAAATCCTAAATACGATTTAAAATTTGTCAGATACAGTAGTGATGTTCGCGAGAAGAAAGTCGGGTCGGGAAATGACCTCGGAAGTCGGGGTCGGTAGTCGGGAATTCACAATAAAAAAATTTTGGCGCCTTCGGCGCCAAAAGTCTGGTTCATGGAAGACCATGAACCAGACTTCTTCCTTTATTTACCGCCGGAGGCGAAAATTTTGAGAATTGAAAGCCAATGAGCAAGTCATCCTTTTTCTGCGCCGCATGCGAAAATTTTTTAAATTTGGAAGACTCTACAACAATTAACGTTATATTGATGTGAAACTTTCAAAGAAGAATCGCAAACTTGACATTTATTAACCAATTTTCTCTCCATTTTTCTTTGAAGCTTATCAAAAATTAATTAATAATTTAATAAGTAATTTAGTATTCGTTAATTTTATATTAGTATGTGTTAGTAAACATGGGAATATATGTAATTTAAATTAAAAAACAGAAAAAGAATGACTTTAAAACTGCAATGGAGGGGTAATTTATTTATAGTCAACGTGATAAAATTTAATTTTCTAAACTGAATTTAGAAATAAATTGCTATTTAATAAGCAAGAAAGGATGAATGAAAAATCCACGTCTGTTTGTACAGCTTTGTATATTGAAAGATAAACTAAAATTTATTTAGATGAATATTGGATATTCCACGTTAAGTTTTACTGAAAATTACTAAGCTATAATACTAAAAATTATTAAACTATAAAACAAACTATAAAACATTTCACATTACAAAATTATTTTAGAACATTTTAATATAGAATCCCTTGAAAATTGTAACTTCAAAAATTTAAAATCAAAGTTAAAAAATATTTATTTTTGGAAGTAAAAATTATCTACCTCACATTTCCCAACCCTGCGCTCGAAGTTCTTCCTTTTATTTTTTTCCTTTCAAAAATAAAATTTTATCAAAAAAAGCCATTCTTAGGGGTGTAAAATTTTGCCAATTTGTCAGGAATTGGCATCAGGAGTCGGGAGGCCAAAAACTTGGGAAATTTTCCCGAGTTGGGATCGGGATACCTGAACATCACTAAGATACAGCAGTTTAAAATTTAAATTAAAATCATAGTTATCAATATTTTATATATTTTAGTATGTATTATTTGGCTAATAGGGAAAAGGCTGAAATATTTAATACAAAAATGTATAGATCCAATTTGCGAATCCTCAAGAGTACAATTCCTAGTACTTGTAAATATACTAGAAATAGTGGCCTCGTTAACATAAGTTTAAATGTATGAGTCACTCATAAATTAATAAATCCCACTTTATTAGCCAAAAATTGACCAAGCCAGAATTGACATTAGTAACTGCCTGGGTTAAACCCCCAAAAAACCTTTATTTACAATCAGTTTCCGGCCCTGATTTTAAATGAATAATAAATATTTAATTGTTAAAAAGTAAAAATAATTGTATGTACATTGTAAATATTACTAATATTCTTTTATTTCTAAACAACTATAAACAAAAGGAGCTAACTTTTCCTCTTCTTCTTCTTCTTTCAATTCATTAATTGTTTGCACATTTTTAAATTGTTTTTCTATTAAATCCTGTAAATTATTTATTTGAAAAGATTTAATTAAAAAATATATTTTTTGATTAAGTGGCACCAGAGGTGGATTGGAACAGTCAGAGATGTCGGAAATCGAAAGAGCCGGAAATCGGAACTGGCTCAAAAGTCGGAACTCGGAAATCGGAATTCCGACCCATCTCAAATTGGCACTTAATGGCAATTGGTACAAACACTAGTCCCAATAAATATTTATTTAAAAATATAAATTATACCCAAAAAATAAGGAGGATGAGTAAGAGTTGTGGTCTTTAATTTTTCGGCATTGGCTTGCTTATTTTTTAAAATAAGCAAGTCAATGCCGAAAAAGGTCTTTAATTTTTCGGCATTGGCTTGCTTATTTTTTAAAATAAGCAAGTCAATGCCGAAAAATTAAAGAGGTGAATAAAATATAGAAAAGAAAGGGGTCAAGACAGTATACAGAAACTTACGCCTATTTGTTGTGGTCCCATAAAGAATCCCCGGTAAGTCGGACCCCGTTTTTGAATTACTCTCAATTTTAAATATCCCCCGATTTTAAATTTAATTTCTTTATCACCAAAGGTTATTTAAAACAAAAGCTAATTTAATTTTAATTATTTATTTATTTTATACTTTAAATATATTCAATTCCCTTTCCGCCTTTGTAGTAGCCAAAATAGCATTAAATAAAAACATTAAATCAGAATATCTTTTAACCCCTTCTAAATCTCCTTTATTTGTTTGTAAATATTTTAATAATATTTTTGAATATAATTCTGCCGAATTTTTCATTTTAATTTTCCCTTGTGAAGATATATTTGGAATATCTATTTAAATATTTATTTATTAAAAATTAAAAAAAAAATTTACTAATTACCCCAATTACAAATAAAAATTGAACGTAAAAGTACAAATTCATTTTGATTAATATTTAAATGTTTTAATGTTTGCAGTAAACTATAGAAAGTAATTCTTTTAAGATGTTCAAATCTTTAAATAAAAATTAATTTTTAAAAATTATTAAAGTTTTCTATTTGTCCCTAAATGCCTATATAATGTTAAAGTATTAACTAGTTCGACATTTTCAATTTGCTGGCCCTGTATCCGGGTTTTTTTCTTCCAAGTCGACCAGGACCGGAAACCCAGAAAACCCAGAAACCCTGAAAACCCGGTTTTTCACACCCGGGCCCAGACCCGTTTTTTTTTAATTTGAAAAATTCTTAAATTTTTGTTTTTTTTTTCTGAAATTTCATTATTTTAAATAAAGAGGATATCCCCAACTTGAGATCGCTATATCTTCGTAAGTTCCTTACACGAAAGCTTATAGTACCTAAATTTATTTTCAACCGAAAAACCGGATTTCATCAAAATACCCGGTTTCCTGGCAACCGGGCACAAACTCTCGGGTCAAACTCTAATATTAACAAAAAGTAAAGCCGGAACATCCAAGTGTAGATACTATACGACATTTTCAATTTCGTATAGTATCTACATACACATTCCCCTCTCACTTTCCCTTAATTTCCTAAAGTTTTGTTTTATTTATTTGGTAGTTAAATTAAAGGATTAAAAAGTGAATAAAACAATTTCAAGTAATTAATTTAAATAAATAAGTATTTAAAATATTTTGATTAAAAAACAAACGTATTTAAAAAAATTAAAGAATTATTTTCATCTCTCATTTTAATTTTATTAATTTTATTATTTAACATTAAAATAGGTGTTGAATTATTTGGTAATGTTAATGTTTGTGTATTTTGTAGTAAACTTGAATAATAATTTGAATCGAATGTTTGAATCATCAATGAAACATTTAAAAGTAAATATTTCTTAAAAAATTTAATAATTAACTTGGCGATATTAAAGTTTTAAGTTTAATTAAAACTATGGGATTATTATTAGGGATGCCTAAAAATACACTCCGCCACATAATTATATGAACACCCCTAAATACCACATGTTAACGTATTTATATGTCGAAATATTTTTTAACTTTGATATATTTTGGAAATCGGCCAAAGTCGCCTTAGAAAAAAGGAAATCTGAAAATGGTTTCAGGGTAAAATTTTTGAAATTTTTCAATTTTTCGACCGCCACATAATTATATGAACACTGTGGCGGAGTGTAATAAACTAGATTTGTTGGCGCATGGTACCAGTATTAGTTGGCCCTCCGGTTTTCATTTTATTTAAATTTACAAGAGTTTTATTTAAATATTGTTTTACCCTCCCTAGTTTAAACATTTTAAAATGCAAGTGCCACAAAAATTTGTTATTTGACATTTAAGTAAAATCTTTTAGTTTTATAGCTATTCAAAAATTCTTATGGCTTTTAACATTTTTTTATCAGGAAATAATTTAAAAAAATATTTGTGAACTCGAAATAAAAGGTCAGATATGAATTTAATATTTCAATTCTTCAATTCAAAAAATCTTTAAAAATAATTACCTTATCAGAAATATTTAATTCTTCATAAAAAGGCATAGAACGTATTAATTCAATTGCTAAATATAAATCCCTTTAAAATAATTTTTGTAATATATTTAGGTAAATATAAAAATAACAAACATAAAAAAATAACTGGGCACATGTTTATTTAAATTTCTTCCTTCCATTAAATCTTCGAGTTCGGCTGAATTTACTGAAGCTGGTGGGCCAGGCTATAATAAGTAGAGTAAATAATTATTTGTTATTAAATTGATGCTGTATGATCAAATAAACATTTTCTTAGTAGGAAATTGACATTTTCTAATTATTTAAAGGTATTACGAATTCCTATACACTCTCGATTCTTATCTTGTTCACTTTCCCTGATATCTTGATATTTTAACTGTTCATGTCCCAGCCTACTCCTCAATGTTAGATTTTGGCCTAAGCAAGCTTCGCTTTCATAATGATGATCAAAAATTGTGTTTTTACAAAGGTAGTGCACATTTTATGGTGTTTCGCTTTCCGTTTTAAATTTCATTTTAAATCTTAAAATTTCTATACCATTGTGCAGATGGTATAAAAATTCAACAGACAATTTTGATTAAATATTTATAAATTATTAATTTTCATACAAGGGCCAAAAATATTATTTAAAACTACATAAATTACCTCAAATTTTTGATATAAATTTAATAAATTAATATTAGATTTATCCAAAAAATCATCCAATTTTCTTTTAAACATAAATTCAACAGATATTCCATAACGGGAATTTCTAATATAAAATTTTTTGTTTTCAACACTAATTAATTCTGATAATATTTTTGTTTCAGAATTTTTATTTGTTGTTGGAATTATTGGAGGAGTTAATTTCTTAAAATTAAAAAAATATGTGTGTGTAAATTAACTCAATTACAAACAAGTTGTTAAAGAAAAAAATTAGTTTGAGGGAAAGGAGTTTTGAGGGAAGAGGCAAACCAACCTCGTAAAATTTATTATTACTATGTACATATACTTATCAATTAATTATAATGAAAATTTTTATATTTTTTTAGAAAAAAGTCCACTTAATAAAATTTTTAAAAAATTCAAAGAAAATTTAAAAATTCCTCTAATTTTATTTACTTATTATTCTATGACGTAGAGGGGTAAAGACGAGTTACCCGATATCCTGAATTTTAATGACACAAAACCCGTCCCCGGATATTTTACTCAATCCATCCATAACCTAACTTTTAAATTAATTACCTTATTATTATTTTTCAAATTATTTTTCAAAGTCTTTTGTTTATTATTTCGAGAAAGTAAACAAGCGCCATTTTCGTTTTTTAATTTATTTTTTAAAGCCAATTGTTGTACTAGTAATTTATTCATACCAGCATTTAAACATTTAGATAAACGACAAGCCCGACATTTAATTCCTTTTAATTTTTTTAAATTAAAGATTAAACAAAAATTATTTTTTTCAAGTTTTGGGAATAATCCAAATATATGATTCCAGCATGGTTTATTATTTTCCCAACGTTAGTATGTATCTTAGTAATATTTACACTATCATTAACTCATAATTAAAATTTTTTTCATAAATTATTTAAGAAATATAGAGACAAAAACTTAAAGGAAAGATTTCTAGAATATGGAATTTTATATTAACTAAATAGTTAACACTATTTTAGAGACTTTTCTTGTTTGAACTTAAATAATCCCTTAATTTCAATCAAGTATATTTATTTTTTAATAATAAATTTTTAACCATCTTTAATATCACAAATTGATTTTCTTGGACAATTATATTTTCTATTTTCAATAATTGAACGTCGAAAAAATTGTTTACAACCTTAAAATTGAAATTAAATTTAATTTAATTTTTAAATAAATCTTTCTTGACTAACCATTACAACTAAAAACATTATAATGATAAAAATAAGCATCCTTCCCACAAACAGCACATTTACTATCTTTTTTATTTTGTTGATTTAAAATATTTAAATTTAATGATGATAATGATAACATTTATATTTAAATATTTCTCTTAAATGAGAGAGAGAGAGATTTTACTATAGAATTACAGTAAATTATTATTTTTGTTGAAAAATTTGGAAATTATTTAACAAAAATTTTTAGACAAAATAAAAACAAGAAAAATATTGAAAAGAAGCTATTTTTCAGTTAGGAGCAGGCAACATACCGCGAGCCCAACGTACCGCAGTGCTATAACTTGTTAAAAATAGTCGAATCCTGGACGCCTTGGTATGGTTCGTTGCATCTCGACAAGCTGAATCGAACCATATCAGGGCGTCCCAGATTCAACCATTTTGAACGAAGTCAAGAATGAATAATAAAATCCTATATGTACTGTCCTTGATTGGTTTTATTTAAATAAGAGAATAATAATAATTTTTATTATTATTAGAGAATAATGATAATTTTTTTAAATAATAATAATAACTTTATAAATATAAATTTTTTATGATTTTAAATTTATTTAAAAAAGTTCAAATATCGGTTGATATCTCGATATTTCCTTTCAAGATTTCCAGATTACCGATATCAACTCTTGAAAAATTCTATGTATAATCTAAATAATTGTTTAAATAAACTGATATGGATAAAAATTGATAAAAAAAATTAAAAATAAAAAATTAAAAATTGACATAAATTTATTTCCAAAAAAAAATTCCAAAAATTATATATCATTAAATAAAAAAATTTGTCCGACTCCAAACTATCTAAAAAATTTAATTTTTCTATAAAATTTTAATTTTTAAGAATTTTTAAACAAATTGCCTGCGCTGCTCCCACTTATGGTAACATTTGGCTCGCAACTCAACAGCATACCTTTTTTTCTATCATTTCCTCCCTGTTTATCCGACACAGGGACCTCTCTTTTCTTTTTGATTTATAGGGGGTATAAATCCAAAAAAAGAGAAAGGTGCTTTTGCCAAATAAACATGGAGGAAAATTTGGCGCGAATGTTTAAATAACCCTTGAATTAATGTATGAGCCTCAACAATAAGAATTTAAATACATATAATATACTCACTAAACATTGCAACTTTATTTTCAATTTTATTTTTCTTTCGATTTTTGATATCGAAAATGTTGAAAAATATTTTCTGTTTAAATATTTTTGAACATTTTATATTTTCGATTTTTGAGGATTTTTTGTTTCGAAACAGCTTTGCCTCAACTTCTTATATATTTACATAGATATTACAAATTTTAGTATAAGAACTCATTTATGATTTTTTAAAAAGTTTAAACTGGGTGAATTTAATTAAATTTATTTTTAATTAAAATAAATATTTAAAATTAAAATTAAATTAAGTAAGACGATAACAGTGAATTTAATAAATATTGTAAGACGAAGTAAAGAATTCTAACCTTAAAATCTAATAGCCAATCAATTATTGCCAGCTTTTCGATTGATTTAATTAAGAAAGAAGAATTAATTAAATTAATTAAAAGAGATGGTAGATGTAGTATGTAGTATAGGCTAATTAAGTAAAAGTGCACTCTATATTCCGCTAAAGTTAAGTGTATTTCGGCAAAAGTTATTTTTTGTTGCACTCTACGCCTTTACCCCTCTTTCCCTTAATTTCCATCGGCTTATCAAATGATTTGTTGAAACTTCACGAAATAGATCCGAATCCGGATAAAAATTTTGGGTTATATCCGTATCCGTTTATATCTATGGCACTTTTAATTAGAATCCGCCGATATCCACGGATATAAAACGCCGCACATAAATTACGTAAGCTGTCAACAAATCATTTATAGGCCGATAGAAATTAATGGAGGAGGGGTAAAGGCGCAGAATGCAACAAAAAATAACTTTTGCAGAAATACTTTTGCGGAAAATACCTTGCGGATTTTTACTTAATTAGCTAGCCTATACATACAACTACATACATACATACAATCTCTCTTAATTAATTCTTCTTTATTAATTAAATCAATCGAAAAACTGGCATAATTGATTAGCTATTAAGTTTTAAGGTAAAAATTCTTTACTTCATTTTTATGTATTTATCCTTGAGATCGAAACTTCGAAAATCAAAAATAAGAAAAAGTTCAAAAATATTGAAATTTCAAAATCAACGTTTGTCCTGTGTCATTTGTTCTTTTGGCATTTCCGATTTCCGGCATACTCCTCTTTCCCGAGTAACCTCTGGTTGTTAGGCCGAAATCTGACCTTTAATTATTAATAAAAGCTGACGACGCCGCCTCCTACATAGCCTTAGAAATATTAATTTAGTGCCAGAATCGAATCCGAAGTTAATGGATCAAATCAAAGGATCAAATTAAATCGCAAAAGAATATTAAATGATTAGTTTTTTTTCCCAAATTTATTCTATTTTTCTCAGTTAAACAATTATTTTTAAATTCAAAAAAATTATTTTTTCTTAATTTCCAATTTCCAATTAATTTTTAATTAATTTTTATTTTTCTTTCTCTTCCACAGCAATTTAACATTAATAAATAAATGAATAATATTTTTACTTTGATTTTACCGATTTATGTGCGTACAATTTATTGTTTAAAAGAAATAAATAAAAGAGAAAATATATTTATGTATTTTTTTGACCTTGGGAAATTTTAAGAAAAAAAATCTGTAGAACACACATACTCATTATATCAAGAAAAGCTTAAAATCTGGCCTTCAATTATTAACAAAATATCTCAGAATTGTGAGAAATAATAATTTTTTTAGAAAATTTTAGTTAAAAAAAGAATTTCTCTTGTCATTCTCGAATTTCTATTTTTTAAAAATAAATTTCAATTTTTTTTAAATTTTAAAAAGCAAAAATAAAATAAAAGTTTAAAAAGAGAGAGAGCATAGATAGAACAAGAAAAAATAAATTTTAAAATTTTTTTTTATTTTAAAATGGGCTCAAAGAGTAAAGAATGAATTTAAAAGAAAATGATGATGATTATTTAGTTAATTTTAAAGAAAAAAATTCTTGAAACATTTTATAAAAATATTTTAATTAAATAATTTATTTAGAATTTTTTGTGAGTATTTGTTTAATAGTTTTTTAAAAATTATTTTTTAAATTAAAATAACAAAAGCTACATATACTGAGTTATTTTTAATTATTAAAATTAAATTTAAAATATGTATATACTAAAACAAGAATGATAATAAGTGAATGAGGAAATGTCGAGTCGGATTTAAAATCAAAAAATAGTCAGGGTTTAGAAAACCACTCATAACATTCTGATTAATCTTTTGGTTTGATCTAAACAGAAGAAGGACTTTTAGATTTGTTTCTTCTGTTCGGCTCTTCAGAAACTGGCTTTCTGGACTTACAAATATTCTCTCCTTTATCGCTTAATGAAGTTTGAGCATGGATTTATAACCCTTGCTCTTTTCCCTAAAATTTTCGATTCAATTCCTGATATTTTAAGATTTCCCCTAATTCTTTATTTTTTTGTTAGTTTTCATTATTTTCAAAATAATTTTGGTTGCCTTGGCTACTTTCTTTTTTTAAATTTTATTAACCAAAACATTTCCCTAACAACAATAACAGTGCTTATTTGTCTATATTTATTGTTTATTTAGCTAATTTGGCAAACCTTTTTAGAGTTTAAAAAAGAAAAGTGCTTCCTTTCCCTCCTTTCTAGCATTTATTTAATTTATTTTTAAAAAATTTTTTAAAAAACAAAAAAGCCTCGATGGACAATTAAGGAATATTTATTTAAAAAGGTATAACAAACTAAAAATAAAAGAAAATTTGAGTTATTTTTATAAAAAAATTTAATGAGTAGAGGGAAATTCTACAACTTTCCTTCTGTAAAAGGACATATAAAACAGTTTTTATAATCTGAATTGGCTAATAAAACTTTTCAGAATCACTCGATCTTTGGAATTATTTTTGAAAATTTAATTTTAAAATACCAGTTTTTATTTTTGACATAAAAATTTGAATACTTTTCCCTTCATTTTTATTTTTTAAAAATTAAAAATTAAAATTTAAAATTAATTAACCAAGATACAATTTTTTATAAAAAAATTTCTCTTTAATTTTTAATAATTAAAAATTAAAAATAATTTACTATTTACTATTTATAATATTTAAAAAAATTTATTTATTTATTTCCTCATTGAGTGCCAGGCACCGAAGTACTTATATATAAATATAATTCAATCTGTCTTTGTCGTTTTTTCCTCATTATTAAAAACCCTGAGCAAGCAAAAATTGAGCAAAAAAATATTTCCGCCTTGTCGAGTAAATAATAAAAATAAATAAAATAAAAATTTATTTATTACAAAACGTAAAATTGAGGGAAATATTATTAAAAAATATTTAAATTGTGTTTGTATATTTTTAGTTGTAACTTCCTTCATCAATAAATAAATCTTCAAAATATTTTATTCATCTTCCTACTCCTTTAAATTAAATATATCAAGCAAGCAAAAACTACCTTATTAATAATTCTTCTATTTTTTCTCTTCATCTTCTTCTACTTTTTTTTATTTCCTTCTTCGTCTTATTTTAATTGTCGCTGACCTTTCTCTAAATTAATTCTTAATTTTTTTCAATTTTATTTTCTTCCTTTCTACCATCTGTCTCTCCAAATTTATTTTAGTAGTTAATTGTCCATTACTTCCATCTTCCACTCATTTATTTCCCAAATGAGGCGCAACTATTTTCAAATAATTTCCCGCTTCTTTAGCCTGTTTTTCTTCAATCTTCTTTTTATTTAAAATAATTTTTGGCGTCCATTTTTTAAAATTTTTTAAGGATCGATTAAAAAACTAGTTATTAAATAAGTATTTTTTTACTTTTTTATCTTTTTAAATAAAATATTTTTTGAAATAATTTTTTTTAATCAAAAAAACCCTTTATTGAGAGATAATACTTTAAATAAATTATTTACTGTATTTACTCAAATAATTACCCCCCTCCCTATTAATTTCCCCTTCAGCCAGAAAAATAAATACTCACTTAAAATAGTTATAATTAATCTTTCTAAAATAACCTCAAATAATTCCCCTGCCTCTATTA